ACACTTAACATTCGGTAACGCTAGGGTAGTATTGGGATATTCATACGGTGAAATCTGAAAGTAGTTCGGAGTCCCGGATGAGATTTGAGACATCACGAGGAACTCCGAAATGGTCCAGAGGTAATGATTTATATAGTCATATTTTGAGCACCGAAAAAGTTCGAGGGTATGCCGGCAGTGTACCGAAGGCACCGAAGGGTTCCGGGGGTCTACTGGGGGGGTCCGTCTTCCCCAGGAACCCACATGGGTTGTAAGGGGGGTTGGCCTGCTTGTGCCAGGTGCACCAGTCTCTCCCCAAGGGCCCATGCGGCTAGGGTTGGGAGAAACCCTAAAGGGGACGCCCTCCTTGGCTTGGGGGAAGCCACCCCCTTGGGCCACCGCCCCTCCCTTGCAGGAGGGGCTAGGGTTGGCCGCCCCCTCCCTCACCCCTATAAATAGTGGGGAGGCGCAGGGGGCTGCACCCTTCAACCCTTGGCCGCCCCCTCTCCCATATCCTCCTCCTCTGTGCAGTTGCTTAGCGAAGCCTTGACGGAGTTCTGCTTCAATCACCACCACCACGTCGTCGTGTTGGCCTTGATCCCATATACTTATCCACCCTCCCTTGCTAGATCAAGAAGGCAGAGACGTCACCGAGCCGTACGTGTGCATCTCGGGGGTGATGTTCATTCGGTGCTCGGATTGGATTGGATCCCGAAGAAGTACGACTACGCCAACCACGATGTCTAGATCGTTGACGCTTTCGGTCGACAAGGTTATGTAGACACTCCCCCTCTCGTTGCTAGCATCTCCATGGGATAGATCCCGGGTGTTTCGTAGTAATTTTTTGGTTTTCCCTGCAACGTTCCCCATAAAAAATGTCGGTCATGGCATGGCCAGGAAATTGGAGCATAATTTATCCTTGATTGAGATCCTTTGTGTTGTCCAACTCGAAGGCGCGTGATGGTTAACTCCTCCCAACCTCCTTCCTAAGGGAATATAAGTACTCCCTCCGTCCACGTGCATTGGGCGCCTAAGGAAGGGCAGTGTGATCTAGGCGCGAGGGGAGTGGGCGAAGGGAAAATTTAAACCAGGAAAATAGCCAATTACCGAGCAAGTTTAGCCCTTAATTCTCGCTGGTAAATCTCGCTAGACACGCCAATTTATTGCCTGACTTTTCCCTTCCTCAGCGAGCTGCGCATGCATGCAACAATAGTCGTGCTAGTTAATTGCCTTCCGATTTTTTCGCTCGGGCTGACCAATAATCAACTAACTAATTGTGCATGCATTGGCCTAACACATACCACGGGTCATCAGTTTTCATTCACACGACATTTAAAAATGGTTGCACAGGGAGCCAAAACAAGAGACTGTAAAACAAAGCTGGTTTAACTACCTATATGCGACTAAAACTTTTGGAAAAGATGGATTCTCTTAGATGCCCTACACACCTGGACGGGGGGATAATACTCTGCTTCAAGGGCTTCTAGACTTTCACTAAAGTACTTGAGTTATTTATGACTAATGTGAGTTTATGGACTATAAGCACTTCCACCCTTCCATATTTTCTTACCCTCTTCGATGTCGTGCATTGCTCGTTCTCATCTCGAGACTTGGTGCAAACTTCGTTGATGCATCCAAATCTTGTGATATGATACGCTCTATCACACATAAGCCTTACTATATATTTTCTCAAAATAACCACCATACCTATCTATTATGACATTTTCATAGCTATTCCGAAATATATTGTCATGAAACTTCCATGGTTACTGTTTACATGATTTGAACATTCATTGTCATACTGCTTTGCATAATCATATAGAGCTGACATGGTATTTTGTGGCAAAGCCACTGTCCATTATTGTTATACATGTTACGTTAGATCATTGCACATCCTCGTACACTGCGGAGGCATTTATATAGAATCATATTCTTTCAGTTTATCGAGTTGTAAGTAAATAAAAGTGTGGTGATCATCATTATTAGAATGTTGTCCTCACCAGTGAGGATATAAAAAAACAGAGGCCAAAAGAGCCCAACAAAAAAAGAAAAAGGAAAAGAAAAAAAGAGAGAAAAAGAGAAAGGGGCAACACTACTATCCCTTTTTCACACTTTGCTTCAAAGTAGCACCATGCTCTTCATATAGTCTTCATGATTTGTCGCTTTCATATACTGGTGGGATACATTATATAACTTAGCTTGTATATTCCTATGACGAGCTTCCTCAAATGCTCGAGGTCTTCAAGATCAAGCGAGTTGGATGCACACCACTTAGTTTCATATAGAGAGTTTTCATACACTTATAGCTCTAGTGCATCTGTTGCATGGTAATCCCTAACCCTCACATTAATATCGATTGTAAGCCTCTACATTGCCTAACAATCCGCCGAGTTGATGCGAGACTTTCTCAAAAAAAAAATCTTTCCTTATAAACCCCTATCAACATTCTCCTTGCCATCCAAAGTGTTAAGTCCATAGCTCACGCTCATGTATTAAGTGAAGTTGAAAAAACTAAGCAAGAAAAAGTATGATACAATTGCTTGGTTTGGCACCGGGATGATCATGATTTATACTTTATGTTAGAAAGACCGAGCTATGCCATGCTTACATGATTAAATGAGTAGGAATAACATTCTTTAGCACTTTATTTTAAAGGGTAATGATTATTTCTAACACTCTTTCATACGCAACGAAATGTTCTTTAGCTCTAACATTCTTTGGCTCCCGCACGGTTGTCTCTTCGATACATTGCTAAGTAGACATATGCAGCCCCCGTCGGATGGCAAAAGTGAACCGGACATTGTGGCCTGGACATATAGTAAAGGTTTGAGGGAGGACGTGGAGTTTCTACACCCAGGAGCAAATGCTCCTGGTGTGAACGGTAAAATCAAATAAATTCAAAAATAATTCAAAAAAACTGAATTTTTTTATGCCATACTTTCACAAATGTTTGTTATGCCTGCAAAATTTCATTGCAAAATCACATTGGTGAAAAGCGTGGTAAAAAAACAAAATTGATGCTCTGAAAATGTTACTTACAAAAGCATATTGGAGCTCTAATTTTTTTTTTGGCACACCTTCCACTAATGTGATTTCGCAATGAATTTTTGCGTGCAAAACAAACATTTGTGAAAGTATGTCACAAAAAAATTTCAGAATTTTTTAAACATTTTTTCTATTTTTTCTATTCATACCAGGAGCATTTGCTCCTGGGTGTAGAAAGGTACTTCCGTTTGAGGGTCCACTTTAGTGATGCCCTTAGCTCCCATAAATCCATAATCCAATCTACACCACGAGCCACCAGTGCACTCGACACCACACGGCCGAACCAATCAAACAATCAGACGGTCCAGGAAGCGATGTTCAGACCAAAATGTGGACGCCTTATAATTCTTTTTAAAAAGAAGTGGAAGCCACGATCTTTGTGTGTTCACACCCTAGATGTGGAGTTCATCCCTTTCCCATGAAACATTCAGGTGCCCTACAGATCAGCAGTATGGTCTCTGAAAGAATCAATATTCTCAAGCCAGAAAAATGGTAATAGCAACAAAAAATGTTATTTCAGCCAACCACAACTAGTCAAGTCACACCAACACATCTGCTTCGTTATCATAATCCTCCTATGGTTTGACTCTGTACCTCTCACCTCCTAGGAGGCTTGCTCTACCTTTTCCATGAAATGAAATGCAAAGGTCCTTTGCGTTTTCTCGAAAATAATCCTCCTAGGGTTTTACAGCTTCACTCCATTTGGTGTGAGCAGAGGCTCCATCTTTCTACACCCTTTTGATCACCATCTTATCTTCCTGGTAACCAGCTCAGTAAAATCTACTGTCGTGCTGTCAGTCATTCGTCCTCATTTGCTAATATTGCTTACTTCCGTTCAACTACTCTAGGATGGTTTGTTTAAACACTCTCCCGCCTGAAACATCAAGTGATCTGATAAATAAAAAATAAGCCTAGTACAGAGAATAAGGATAGAAACAATGAGGTGCGCCCACTGGGAAAGTTTGTTTCAGCTACAACAGGAAGAACAATGGCGTAATGCGCAGAAATGCAACTCTCTTGAATTAGGTTACTATAAGTTTGAATCATGGATGCAGAGTTTCAGTTAACAAATACTGCCAGAGGATACAAAACTAGAAGGCCCGACTAATATAAACCTTATACTGTATGGAAACAAGCTCAATCAATTGAAAATCGAGACCCCATGGAAGATCTAAGAGCTCATAGTAGCATCAAGAACTACACTTCTGACCACCACAAGAATTACATATAGAATACCATCAAGATACCAAGTTTTCATCTGGAGAAAGATCAGTCAAGAAAAACTTATCCAAGTTCACAATCCCATACAGCCCTGTTTCTTTCGAGTTCAGCATGCAAACTAGCTTATGAAGATATGCCATACATATACATCCAGTTCAATCCACGTGGAGCAGTCAGAGAGCACTAATCCATATGGTGTGAGCTGAACATGAAGGGGATGATTAGGAACGAAATCTCTTGCTCAGGTCTGTCAAGGTGAGCATGTCCAGTAAATCATATCAACCAATGTTGAACAAGTATGGCCTAGCAGAAGATGTTGGGTACACGCCGCCAACGAGAACCAGATGACATAGGAGTGGAGAGCCAGAAGATGACACTGACAAGCAAAACACGCCGAATGCGGAGGTGGAGAGCGATTGGCCGCTCTGGCTCGGTTGGTAAATAGCCGGCACAAAACTATGGGACTAACAGGAACCACAGGTTGAAAGGAATTCAGAACAAAAACTTTCAGCCTACCCAAGACAAAACTAAAACGTCCTCTTCCACAGCCTGAACCAAACCAAACTATATTTCTCATCTGTCCACCCCAGCCCATCCAAATGAAACCATTCCCAAAACAAACCAGAAAAACTATTTTATTTTCAGAAAATGATGAGAAAAATCATTTCAGCCCAGACCATTATCTAACATACCCTCTCAAATCAAATGTATATTACCTTGTCAGAGCATGCACACTTGACTCACCCATGGTAATGCTAGCCTTCCTCCTCGCCACTCTCAACGAAAACAACACCCTTATCTTTCTTTTGCCTCTTAGCTCCATCACCACTGTCCTTTCCACTGCCAGTTTCTGACCACATCACCTCAATGATGTCGCTACCGTACTTGTCGGTCTTTACCTTCCCTATCAGCTTTTCTAGCTGCACGAGATTGAAAAAAAATGCACATGTTGGAGATGCACTGGCAATCTACTTAGCTGGAAATAACAAGTTAAACCAAGATTTACCTCGGCAATAGTGGTTGGAGTATGGCAGTTTAGCAGGGAAATTTGCTCCGTGGAAAGAACTGCATGCGGGAATATGCCCCCATTACGAGAAGAGATGGTTCTACGCAGGTCATCCAATTTAGCTTCCAAATTGCTCATCTGATTGCGCTTTGCACTTTTGAATCTATCACCACTATCTTGAGAGTGAATAGCACTAGTTAGCTTCACCGGTCTGTTCCCTGCATAGTGAAAGCGTGTTCACACCATAATCCACAAGTATTTTTGTAATTCTTTTAGCAACAAGCCAGCAATGGAGACAGTGGCATGTGTGCCTTTACATGTACTCAATGACTTCCATGGAATGATGATAAAGTAAAATGGACTGTTGCAAGAAAAAAGAATCATTTACCTTGCAATGCTGGCTTCCACAGTGGTCCTAAGACAACATATGCATTGGTTGTATATGCAGTATGCTGAAATTCTTCTTTCTGGGAGGGAAAAGGATGAATTTTAGCAATCGTTGCCAATCCAGGTCATTGGGGCAAATAAAAAGATGTTTAACAGCTCAAACTACAATGTTTAGATTGCGAAATGCAGTGGCATTATATAGGTAATTCACCACATTGGAGATGCAACAAGTGGCTGCAGACGTACAAAGAGCAAAAGATGTGTTGCACCAATTGTTTAAAAGCATAAAAATGTTTTCAGGTAATTTAATAATTTCCAACATTAAAATACAGTGCTCAATATGTTTAGCATCATGGTCACAGCTATGACTGGTTTTCGTAATCGTAGTCATGATAGTTCTTATGAAGTTTTTACATATAAATAGACATTTAGCATTACCATGAACTGTTACAAAAAGAGAGTCCAATAGGAGTGATTTGTCGACCAACATAAGATTCGAAAATGGAGATACACATACCAAAACACGGTCAAGTATAAGTTGAACTATCAGCTGCTCAATTTCCTCCTTCTTAAGATCAACTGCTTCATTTGAACAACCTGCTTGAGCATTCCCAATTGTAGTGTCAGCTCGGCTCAGAGGAGATACTTTAAGACTCTTGTGTGATGCAACATTTACCAGGCAAAGAACATAAAATACAGAATTCACCAACTTACTGGAATCAGAAAAGTATTAGTCGAGGACATTTACCTGAATGTTTCCACTTTGTTTTGAACTTATCCACTAGCTGCAGCAATGTAGCTCTTTGGTCATTTTGTTGCATTTCTTGGAGAAGTGAAACAGTGATTTTTGTATGGTCTGAACAAGAAGTCACATAACCCATCATCGACAAGAGGATAACACACACGCACAAAAAACAATATCTCTATTTATTTATTTTTGCTATAATTAAAGAATGTGTAGTTCCGTGTTAAAATGGTAGAATCATCATACAGGTAGCATCTATGTCCTTGAGCTCAATACTGGAAACACAGTTGTCACACATTCCTGCAAGAAACTATGTAAATATCAAGATTTAGAAAGTTCAGATCTTGGATAGACGCAAGTACTGAGAAAATACCGTTGCATTCCTGCACGGCCTCTCCAAAATGTTGAAAGAAAGCACCACGACGGCAGTTTTTCTTAGACTGCAAAAATTTAACAAGCTTGCAGTCAGAAATTACTGTCAAATACAACATGACCAGCAGCAACAAAAGGTAGCGCGACATTAATTAAGAAAATCAATATACCTTTCTATCCATTCAAGCAAGGGGGACTGAACGGATAATTTCTTGCACTTTGTTTTTGAAATACCAACTCCGCCTATGTTGTCTCAACATAGCCGGTCCCAAGCCCGGGTAAAGGAGGATTGTGATAGGCTTGGCGAGCCAATGTAAAAACTCAGCCACTCTTATGGAGATGAAACCCAAAAGATTTTCGTTGGGGCGTAACCCTCTCAGCGACGCACCACATCA